GGGGGCGGGAAGCAGCTCAGGTCGGATTGGAAGAGCACTGTTTCCATTCTGAGCCATCTACCTTTCTCTGAGTAGCAGGGAATCATTTGCATTGAAGACGGTGCTGGGAGGATGAGGCCTAGGAAGGGGAGAGGACATGGTAACTGCACTTGGGGAGTGTGGGGTCTCACCCAGACTGCCCACGCCTGGGGAGCTCCTGGGCTGCTGGGGAAGACACTTCCTCTTCTGGGCAGGAGCTCACAGTCTAAGTAGACAATACTAGACACAATATCTTAATATATATTAGGCATTTTATAAATGTGGCTTTACTGAAATGATAAATAGGAAATATAATTACATGTTAAAAAAAACGTTCTAGGGGCCGGACCGGTGGCGCACTGGAGAGTGCGCCGCTTGGGAGTGTGGCGGCGCTCCCGCCGAGGGTTCGGATCCCATGTGGAGACCGGTTCCCACTCACTGGCTGAGCGTGGTGCGGACGCAACACCGAGGGTTGTGATCCCGTTGCCAGTCAGTAAAAAAGACAAAAAGGAATTAAAAAAAAAAAAAAAACATTCTAAACTGGGACAGCAGAAGGCCAAGGGCCTATGTTTGAGGTGACCAGCTTTTAATGTTCCGTTCAGTTATTCAGAGAGGTCTTCTTGGGACAGAGTACAGTCTTGCACCTTATAGACAAAGCTCCCTTAGCCTGGTATAAATCCTGCTTCGTACTTGGGGCACAGAGAACTTTGAGGCTGTGGAGTCCCACCAGCGCCCCCTCTTGATCCTGTAGGAATTCAACAGTTTGAGCTTTAATAGTTTTCTCTCCCTGCTTCCATGCATAGCTCAGAATTTCAGAGAAGCCTTGGCTCAACCAGCCAGCCCATGTGGATGACACGCATAAATATAGCATGTGCTCCTCTAATACCACATACACAGGCTCCATCATGTGCCTATATTGATATTTATTTACTCTGTCTTCCCTGCTAGACTATAGTCTTTCAGAAGAGACTGTACCTTTTACCTCTGTACCCTGAGGCCAGCACAAGGCCAGAAACATCGTAGTTACTGGGTAAATGTTGACGGTGTAGTTTAGTCTCATTTATCACGCTCAGTCACCAAAAACACCAACTATCAATCTGTTTCTGCGAGGGGAGTCTCAGCTTCCTCCAGTAGAGCAGGGCAGGTGCCTCACGTCTCTCTGGCCTCCTTCCCAGAAACTTCTGCAAATTGCCAGGAGAGACCAAAGTGGGTCACTTGCACGGGGAGGCTGAGTCCAGGTGTGGGAATCACCACCGCCGTCCCCGTGGGTGGGCAGGATTCCCAAGGGAGCCGTCCAGACTACTCTGATATGTTTCCTGCCTGGATAACACGCATCTTGCTCAGTACTCAGCCATGAGATTGGAACCATCTGTCTAAGTTCTGGATCCAGGCTTGACCTGGCTGCCTTAGAGTGGATTTTGTCTGTCCCATCTTGTGTGTTCCATGGGGCAGGGACTAGTTCAGTGTGACATGGCCCTCAAAAGCCAGTCAGGACTCAACCAAGACGTGCTGACGTGCACGTCTTCTTGACTCAGCCCGAGCAAGGAGACTGGGCTGTTCAGAAAGGTTATTGGAAGGGAGCAGTAATGCCAGGACTTAGGATAGCGGTTATCAGGAGGGAGGGATGGATCTGCCAGCAGGGGAGGGTGGGCAGAGGTGTCCACTGTGGAAATGTTTGATTTCCTAAGCTGGGCTGTTGATGCACAGCTGTTCCTTGTATTACTCTTTCTGTTTCATAATAGCAATTTCGAAAAAGGTAATTAGCCCTCACTGTCTCCCTGTTCCTGCCATGGATGGGATTCCTAACAGCTAGTGTGGAGGGAAGCTGCCTCCCCCGCCCTCCTTTTCCTGAGAGAATCTGGCTGTATCGTGTCCCCAGTGGGCCCTGGACACACTCTCCCTTTTCTGGCTGTCTGTCGGTCTGTCTGTCTCTCTCTTTCCTGGTTAGTCAGCTGAGTTCACAGTCCCCCAACCTGGACAGACACGTAGTCACCTTCCAGCACCTGGAGAAACTCCTTCTCCCCTGAGGAGGCCTGTAGTGCTCAGCAGATGCACAGGGGCTTCCCTGATGAGGCTTTACTGTGTGGGGGACGGGCTCAGCACTGCTTGTCTGTCACCCTTCCCTTCCCGTCCTGTCGCCCGCCAACCAGTGAGAGCTAATCCCACATAGAGCTTGCACGTGCCCTGCAGTTTCCTGAGCATTTTCCGTATCATCATCTATTTAATCTTCACAGCAACTCCCTGAGGTAGATGCCATGATTCTCCCAGTTTATGCAGAGGGAAACTGAGGCACAGGAGAGTAAAGTGATTTGCCTGAGTTCCCCCAGCTAGTAGGTGGTGGGGCACACGTCAGACCCAGGTGGTCTGGCTCCAAGCTGGACCCCCTGTGGGAGGGCTGGGCGGCCAGCCATGTGGGGTGGATGGAGGGTAGACCACAGCGCAGGACCCTCCTCGGCTCCACTCCCATCTCCCCACTCCCCTGAGGAGAAGCTTGGAGTTGGGAGGCCAGAGGCACTGGGATGTTAGGAACCCCGACTTCCACTGGTGGGCTCTCTGATCCCTGAGGGTCTTGCTTCAGGACAGGCGAGTGTGGCCCCTCTAGGCCTCCTGCTGGACACTGGAAGTGAGGGTCATGGGTGTCCTGTCCCCTCCTGCAGCTCAGTTTGCCCCGCTGGCCCAGCTGAACCCTCAGGAGCGTCTGAGCCGGGAGACGGCCCTCCAGCAGAAGCAGGTGTCCCTGGAGGCCTGGCTGCAGCGCGAGGCCCAGACGCTGCAGCAGTACCGCGTGGTGAGTGGCTCCAGCGTCCCTGTCCTCGGGCATGAGCGCCACAGCCTGAGTCTCTGGGACCAGACAGAGGAGTAGAGTCAGGCCAAGAGCAGGGGGCCAGGTCCCCTCCTGCAGGGGGCATGTGAGGGTGTGGGAGAAGGAAGTGCCATTTCCGAGTGGGGCCCCTCAGAGTCATTCTCTAGTGCTCAGCAGATGCACAGGGGCTTCCCTGATGAGGCTTTACTGTGTGGGGGACGGGCTCAGCACTGCTTGTCTGTCACCCTTCCCTTCCCGTCCTGTCGCNCGCTGCAGCAGTACCGCGTGGTGAGTGGCTCCAGCGTCCCTGTCCTCGGGCATGAGCGCCACAGCCTGAGTCTCTGGGACCAGACAGAGGAGTAGAGTCAGGCCAAGAGCAGGGGGCCAGGTCCCCTCCTGCAGGGGGCATGTGAGGGTGTGGGAGAGGGAAGTGCCATTTCCGAGTGGGGCCCCTCAGAGTCATTCTCTGGGAGTCCAGAAGGGCCTGCTCTGCCCACCTTCCTGCAGGAGCTGGCCGAGAAGCATCAGAAGACGCTGCAGCTGCTGCGGAAGCAGCAGACCATCATCCTGGATGACGAGCTGATCCAGTGGAAGAGACGGCAGCAGCTGGCCGGGAACGGAGGGCCCCCCGAGGGCAGCCTGGACGTGCTGCAGTCCTGGTAATGGGTGTGGGGGTGGGAAGCAGACAGGGCCATAGGGCTTGGGGT